TATATATATATATATATATATATATATATATATATATATATATATATATATATATATATATATATATTATCATTTTTTCCAATAGATACTAAATGAGTGATTTAATGAAAGTTTAAGGACCGAAGTCAAAATTTCATAAGTTTAGGGACCTTGAAACATGGATAAAAGTTCAGGCCTACAATCATATCCAAGCCAAAAAATGAAAAGGGGGATGAATTCTATGTAAATATATACATGTAATTATCCTCCAAAGATGGATTATAGAAAAAGAGAATGCAGATCTCATCAATTAATCAAGAAGCTTAAAATGCTCTCTTTAGGACGCGAGTAAAGCAAATATATTTGAATGTTGAAGAAGATAGAAACAAACAGAGCTGTAACAGAAAGAGGATTTCTAACAAAAAGACCAAAATGAGGCGTTTGAACTATCTCACCAACATACTCCATTTCCTCAAGTTTTGATCTTATCTCGGAAGCGGAGCTACTGTCGCGGTCAAGGAGAAGAACCCTAAGACCCTTGGGAAAGTCTTTCCATTCTTGTAAATCATCGACAGTGCAAACCATAGCTCGCTTGGCATGTTTCTTAGATCACTGATCATTGGCAAAAACTCAAACATCTTCAACTCATCCTCGTTTGATATGAAAATTTCAACATATTTATTTATAAAGAAAAAACAACAAACAGCAAATCAAATCACAAATGTGCAAGAGCGAAATGTTCGAGGAAAAAGAAATAAATGTATACAGATGTCTCGCTGAAAATTTAATACGACAGCTCAAGAGATTACTCGAGAAAACGATAATACATGGAACACACAGTACTCCTCTGATTAAAATGGAACCTACAGTTATCATAAGCATCCTGAACTTCGGTTAATGAAGTGTTTCGAAGACTAAATACTCCGAAAAACTTATTTTCCCAATCGGAACGCCTCCGGAACAACTAAAACATAGAGAAAGAGAGAGAAATCATATCAAAATAATTCCAACCGAAACAAAAGCGATCAAACTCATCGCAATCATAATCACAATCAAACAACACATTTCAAAACAAACGTTCGAACACTGGCGATTTGAAAGGCCAAAAGTACTGTTCTGATGAAGAAGACACAGAAGAGATTACCTCAATCATGCTTTCGTCTCTTCCTCTGAAGGAACCGTACCTTTAGCATCTACATAAAACAAGCAACAATAAACGGAGATAGAGATCGTAGAAAGAGACTAAACGCATAAGACAGTACGGATCCTTGAGATTGCGGACCACACTTCTGCATCCATGCAATGAAGAAAACTGTTGAATCCTTGTTCAGTTCAAAGATTACAAGAATTTGAAGAGAGGAAATGGAAGATGAAAGCTTACAGTGGAAAATGCAGAAATTAGCAATGCGCAGCGAACATTCTACGTAGTCGAAATTGCTCAATAATCATCTATTTAAAGGAAGGACTCTTTTCTTTTCAATAAAAATAAAAATAAATAAATAAAATTATAAATTTAGTCACCAAATTTAAATAATAATTTGATTTTTTTTTAGACATTACGACCTCTCGTATGATATTATCCCGTTTGAGATTAAGCTCTCATGAATTTGTTCTGGGCTTCCTAAAAAATCTATTATGATAATATTTTTTACTTATAAAATTATGATCTTTTACTAAATTATTCAACGTGAGACTCACTCTCAACAATCCTTAAATATGTAATATATTATTAAAATTTTAATGATGTATCTAATAAATTACCATTAATTTTTAAAAGATTATATTAGTAAAGTCCAATTACATTCGAATTAAATTTGAAGGGACGTGTATTTCTTCTTCATTTAAATTAATTTTAAATATAAAAAATTATTTTAACCATTTTAAAATTACAGATCTAAACTTCCAAGATAAACAAACATAACTTATTATTGAGTTCGATTTAGGAGTATTTTGACTAATGAATGATATTAAAAATGACCACAAAATCTACGGTACATGTGAATACACAGAACCTTATTTATGAAGTTATATTCATGTTTACAGTGTTTTGACTAATGAACGCGGATTAGTCAGGTTGTCAGTGTATATACATAATCTTGTTTATTGAACTTTGTTTAGGTTGTCAGGGTTTTGATCCATGAACGACGCTAAAATTGACAAAAAAATCTACAGTACACGTATATGTATATATACATAACTTTGTTTCTTGAGCTGTGTTGATGTTGTCAGTGTTTTGACCAATAAACGACACTAAAATTGACAACAAAACCGGTAAGATATGTGTATATGCAATATTTTATTTATTGAGGTATGTTCAAGTTGACCGTGTGACAGAAAAATCTATAATTCTAACGTATATATAATTTAATTAATGAAACGGGTTGCAGTTGTGCTTCCTACCTATATATATCTCTACAAATTACATAATTGAATGGGTGTTTGTTGGTGATTTGGACTGAAGAGTGTGGATTCACATGTACTCTTAATATATAAGGCCACGGTCGGAGGTGTCATTCACAATAAATGGTTCAACTTTAAAGAAAGGGAATGCATTCAATGCCATGCATTTATGGGGAAAATATTTATATTTAAAAAAAAAAAAAATCATAAGCTAATAAATCATTTTAAAACTTTTAATTTCATTAAATTACCCATTCAATTTAGATTTTGATTTCAAAATAGTTGATAAAGAAATAAATGCATTTATTTAAAAATTAAAAAAAAAACAGATGAAGAAAAGTAAAAGTATGAGAATATATATATATATTTTTTTTTAATTTAAGTTTTATTATCGAACATAATGAAAACATGAAATTCGATTTTTTATCGAGTCAATTAAGTTTATATTCAAAATAAGTGAAGGCTTGATATAAGTGAGAATGAATTTGAAGGATGAAAGCAACCAAATTTGGAGCTAGATAGAATTTTGACTAATGTGAACCAAGTAGGTAACCTTACTATACGATAGACTAGAAATGGTATTAGTTACAATTTATGATTGTTTGAGATGATGTACGATGATGCATGCGATATTTATATTTACGATGTATGAGTTGTATCATATGATGTCATACACTAGTTATATGATGATGTAAGATAACGTATGTGCTATGATGATGTATAATGTACTTGATGACTATGATGTCTGGCATGACATTTACCTTAATACGATGATGTTTTCCATATTAAACATGATGTATGATGATAAATGTCATATTGCATCAGGTCGATAGATCGATTTGGGACACAATCTAAAGAGTATGAAAATGATATTAATATAAATATCTAACGAGTATGTGTAACTAAGTGTAACAAAGAGATGAGACTAGGGTTGTGTCAGAAGAGATGTTAAGATGAGAACTAGAGGGACCTCATGCATGTTGTATGTACGTAAACATAGGGATACTTCCCCTTTATGATAATGAGTGCATACCCGCATAGTATGATGATAAGGGTGTTCATGGGGAGCATGATACCAGGGGTTTCGCTGACCTTCGGACGTTGCTACAGACAACTAGCTTGACCAAAGAGGGTCTAGGAGGTGTGTGAGCTGCTTGGAGATTCACACTCACACATGTGGGTTGTGTATAGGGAAATACTACACACCCATAGTAGTTCTAATTGGAGACCACCCCTAGTATAAAATGAGATAGAGATAGGTCCCTAGCGCATATTTGCATGTGATTGCATTTAGCATAATCCATATAGTGGGGTCACTTACTGAGTATTCTTTGAAATACTCAGATCATGTGCCACATCATTTTTTTCAGGTAAAGGCAAGGCGCCCATGTATGATAATGACGGCATCACGAGCAGAGACTGTAGCATGTGCATAGGGTAGACTCATATTTAAATTCCTAGTTTTAGGTTAGAATAAGTTGTTTTGCATTTCATCGATTTAAATTATTTTGTATTTATTTTTATTTTCTTTAAATTTTAGTATTTCATATTAAACACGTAACACTATGATAATTAATTGTAGGTCACTCCAAGAAGTGTATTGTGAGAACCAAATAATGAATTGAGGTCCAAATAGCTAGATTATGAGTAACGATGAATTCCAAGGAGCCAAGAATCAATTATCGCTCAAAGACGAGAGACAATGAGCTCCAATGAGTCAAGTTTTGGTAACAATGAGCTCCAAATAAGTACGAGCAATGATGAGCTTAGAGGAGCTAGAACCGTAGGACGATCTTGGTTGAGCGTTTAGAACCTAGATGCTTGCTTCAAAAAGCCCACGTTCAAGAATAACTCAAGATTTATCCTCTTAAAAATTAAAATTAAAATTTATAACTAATAATTTTTATTTGGTAGAATCTTTGACATTTATACTTACACTAAAAATTATTTACCTCGACATCTTTGATATAGAGGATCTTTGATTATTAACACTTATTTGACATTTTTTCGGTTGCGTCAACTCAACCCAACCATACCTTACATTTTTAAAGATTAATAATATATAATATTTGCAATCGATGTTAGTGATGTATTGTGACTTGTAAATATTTTATATTTAAACTCTATGAAATTTAGTGTAATATGTACGTCGGATAAACAAAATTTATTTAAATAATTAAAAAAAAAAAAGAAAAAGAAAAAAAAAAACAAACAATCTCACCATCCATCTCAACTCACAATCCAACTCAACTCGGGCTGTGAACTCTATTCGAGTTAATCGGGTCATTAACTCAATCTAAACTAAAATTTCATATTGATCGAAAAGATTTTTCCAACCCTACTCACGTGCAGCTCTACTTATTTTTGTTAAATTTCAATAATATAATTCACAATAAATCATGATTAATTGGACGACTCGATTTAAGTTAGCTAACGAGACACGTGCACTGATACTATCCACTAAAGCTTATTCAAAATCCAAAAAAGAAAAAACATAATAATAAAATTTTGAAAAAAGAAATAGAGACAAAAAAAGAAAAAGTAAACACAAAAGTGAAATAAAGAAATAAATGGATCTTATTATATATGCTACAAAAGTTCTCTAACATTTTTGTTTTTGTTTGGTCCCCACATTATAAAGTTTTGATTTTTAATCAAATAATTTTTTTTTTGAAGAAAATAAAATAATAAAAAAGATTTGAGAAAAAATCTAGCTACGAAAGTCGAGCCAAACTCGACTACTCGTCGAATGCAATCATCAACGTGGCTCAAGTTTTATGTTTGAATTTAGAGGTCGACTCCTGTGCACAAACCAATCGTCTTGTATGCTCGCCTATTTAGTTGTGGATGAAAATTATAGTAATAATCTATCTGTGTGAATGGAAATTATATTAACGGGAGAATCACGTTGAACTGTGTGATACGACATTGAGGTCAATTACCTGATATGATATCGTGGAAATTATATCTATTATATATATGGGGATTGTACCACGGTGTTGTGATTTTACTGATGACAACTACTTATCTGCTAGGAAGTCCAATTTTAAACAGTTTTATGTCACTTGATTTTGCAATATACCACTCCGAGGGTATGCATTTAACCTAATTAATTACTAAGTATTTTAAACATCTAACCTTCTCAATAAGGGTAGATATGTCAATTTTACATGAGGAAATCCATCATAAATGGGTAGGGTATTTCTCGTTTGAGGAGAGGTGGAAAACGTTTTTTTTGTATTAGATAATAGGGTCGGGGATGAGATTATATTCTCTATCCCGTCCTCGCTTTGCTTAATATAAATATATATATATATAATTTACAATATTAAATATCGAATTTTATTGGGATGAGGAAATGAAATAGGTGATGGGGATAGGAAGACTTCTCCGTCCCAATCTCGTGGTTATCGTGTATTTAATTTGGATAAGTAGTTATTTTCAAAATTTATTCGGGACCTTTCATTTTATTTAATTTTAAGACAACTCGAAAATGATTAATGTTTGGAAAAAATAATTTATAAAATAGTAATAAGTAATGAATTATTACGACTAAAATAGAATATATAAATTATTGCTTATCCGGATATGCATCAATTATTTACGTCATTGTTTGACATTGATTTTTTATTTTTATTTTCTAATTACACAAATTAAAAATCAATAGTGTAAATAAATAATGAATTTAGATTGTTTTATCATTTAAATTAATAGATAAATTGCTAAAAATTGATATTTATTAACCCATTATTAATTTTTTACTATTTAAATTTTATGAGATTTTTTTAAAACGTAATAAAATATAAAATTTAATAAACATATTTTTTTTTCAAATAATAATAAGAATAATAAATTATTTAATGGAAAACACTTATTTGACAATATTATATATATATATATATATATATATATATATATATATATATATATATATATTATTTTGGAAAAACAAATAGAGACAAAATATATATATATCCAAAAAGGGAAAGTGGAAATATTGGTTTTTTCTATATTTTTTCTTTTTCTCTTCCATTAAT